TTGGTTCCTATTTGCTTCCTTACCCTATCAATGTCGTACTAGAAGAACGTGGTCGGTGTTTCCATTCATGATTATAAGGTATGAACTACATGATGAAAATGCAATACACTTTTCTGAATTGAATATACGCTTTCTCTTACTAGTAAATAATTTGGTAACTGCTGCAAAGATGTTTGACGTCAAATGTCGTATATCATTTGACAGAAAGCTGTACCTTATTCAAGTTTTGCAGAAAAACATTTACAAAATAAAGCAAGTTGAAACCTCCTTGAAGATTTAGACCTGCGTCGCTCCCTGCTGAAGTTACAGACTTTTCAGCCAGGTTGTGCACGTCAGAAATAATACCCTTCATGTCTGGATTGTTATACCAACTTATTATAGGTTGGTGTTTGATTACAGATCCCAATCTAAGCCATATTTGAGGATTATTTTTTCAGTCATTCATGTTTGCTTTTCTAGAATATGCCAACAAGTTTTCAGGCATGGATGACATTGGCAACTTCGTTTCCAAGGTTGATAAAATAATCAATTCATGCTACAGCTCCCTTTAAATCAGTGGTAGGAATAATTGCGGTGTATGGGGAGTTACACCTCCAAAACCCTAAATGCAAGCGAAGTATACTGTCAATATGCTTTGAGCATAAAACTTTGCTAACAAATCTTATCACGTAATAACCAGATGAAAATGATGGTGCATTTTATACTTTTGTCTTCGATTTCAGTCAAAAGATACCAACTAAGTTGTGGGTCACTGACCTTTGTGGTAGGCGTTTTCACTATTCAGGGTTTCATTGTACTGCTGTTTGATCAGAATAACTCCCTGGGAAAGTTTACTCACTTGCTGAAGCAGTCAGTGTCAACTAACTAACTGGTTTTCTATTGAACAGTTTATACCACTTAGTTGCATACTTAATGATGCATTTTTTACTGATAAACATTTATTTGTCAGAGATTGGACACGTTTTGTGAAATTTTTGCAACTATCGCTGGAGTAATCTTTATTGATGATCCATTTGAGTGATGCCTTACATTTTGTTCATCAGATCTGTAAGAGTTCAGTGAGTAATTCAATACGTAATACAAAAATAACTAGCTCACACAATCATGTATCTCATCTACAGTGTGAAATAAGTTGCTATTTTAACATATGGTTAATCTCTTCTGAAATTTTATTTACGATGCACACGATAGCAAATACTACTCACCACTGTTTATGTACACCAGTTAAATTTAGAGTATCAGCTATTTGATTAATAAGTCAAATGAATTTACAGTTTAGCGGTTTCAAAAATCAGTCATTGGCACTGGTTCAATTTTGATTCACATAGTTCCGTTCAACAAACCGTTCTCATGAGCCTCCGTGTAGTAACTGAATACCAATTGTTTATCCAGCGTATAAACAAAGCATCATTAGATGTTTCATTTATTAATACTGGGTGATGACTGAACGTCTGGGCTGCGGCAGGTTTTGAACCCACAACCACTGGTTTACCGAATAGGTGCTCTACCAACTGAGCTACGAGAACTGGCTACTGACCAGATCCTAATTTTACTTCAATCACCAAGGACTTTTTCCGATGGCCATATGAATGTGATGAGTTACTATTGCTTTATCGTATTAACAGTGGCTCCCCAACCAGGACTTTTCTTAATACAGAATCAGCGCACATCTTCCAAACTACAGCTATCTCAGAAAGGCAAACTGATTTCATTTATCGTTGGAATTTCGTCGATTCGGAAACCTGAGGGAATGTTCTGAAACCAATTACTAGATATCTGAAAACCCACAGTTCATTCACTGGACTGCACTGATTAACCTCTGTTGTCATAAGGACCGAATCAAATTGCTTCCACTTTTCCGTTGCTTACATCTCAAGAATATTTGTTTTCTGTGACCAACAGTACAGTTTGTCGTGTGCATACTATCTTGGTTGAAAATATTTTGCTGAACAAACAAGCATCTATGGTGGTATCCCCATAGGAATAACGATCATCTTCCAGTACTTCAAACATTTCAACGCGATTAGATGACTGAAAGGAATGAAGAGGAATACTCGTGGTTGAACACAGTACAACCAAGACCATCCAACTAAGCTACAAATATTCTCCATTATTTCAGAAGAGGAATACTCGAACCTAGATTTCATAAATGATGGCATGTGTCAGTAAGCTATATCTGCAATGTAGAGACGAATTATGACCCTAAGTGTACTGTATCCGTTTAACCCACTAATACAGTCAGAGGCATTTCTACTGGGCTGACTGATCTTCTGTAGGACTGGTTTAGATATATTGGTTAGTTACTGGACAGTAATCAGTATCATGTTATCAACTACCTCCAAACAACTAAGACAAATCGTAGTGAACTGCGGTGGTGGGTCCGGTTGTTCAATGGTCTAACTACAAACCCGGTAGGTAAAATTCGGTCAGTAGTTAAGTCTAGAAAAATGATGTGGGTAACTTTCCAGTGAATGACCAATGCAGCAAAACGCTGCTTGCAAGCCTGCTTAATCATAAATATCAGAATATGATTTGTGATCAAAAGTGAAAGGTATATTCAAGTAGTTGACATCAAAACACATATCAGTTAGACCCCTCGAAAACATTCATAACAAGGAAGTATACAGTCTAACTAACATCCAACAACTGCTGAAAAAAAGATGAATGTCAAGGTTCAGCGACTTGATGGGCATCGCCGCAGTGTTCAAAACAATAGAAGCTGATTTTTATCCCGATTGATAAAAATAACTCGAGTGCCAGTACATTCATCCAGTGATACCCAACTTGAGGAGAACACACACCACCAGTTTCAAAACCAAACACTATCACACCTACATTACTGTAAAAGCTACTGAATATCTGAAGATCAACAATGAAATCCACTTTTTTGTAATTGTAGAGTATATTTTTATGAATTCAATTTGCTGGTTTCTGGGGACTTATTGATTTCAAATTGGTAGTCATCGTGAACTGATATCAGTTGGACGAACATTGGAAATACGGGAGCACTGGACAGCTGTTTTGTCCTAGTACGGGAGTGCTCATCAATGCGCACCCATGAGACACCACCAGGGAGAAAACCCAGTACCTTCAGGTTCCATGTAAAGGAAAAGACCACTGAACCCTTGGGTCGGAATCCAGTGGTCCATATTTCCAACTTTTGTCCGTTCATGACATTCAGCAACCATCACCCAATGTCATCTTTGAGTATTTGTCCTCACGTCCACCACGTTTGTCCCACCAGTCATGACCTCTCACTGGGACTTCAGGAATCACCTCTCGAAGCTAGTCACCAATGAGCATCCGTTAAAAGGATTTCACAGTAAAATGTCAGCATATCAACTTGAATCCACCTAAAAATCGACAAATGATATTCGAATGTCAAATTTTCTCCGGTCTACTAGTAACAAGGAACTGTCAATTTTCTCTCCATCTACTTGTTACAGAATATTACATCCAACTAATCAATATCCCGTGAACAGATAAACAAAATTTATTTGTAACTGTACACTGGAAAACACTGGGGAGAAGAGAAGAGCGAAAAGATGAATAGGAGGTATGAATGAATATGTATGTGTATGCATATATGTTTTCTGTTCAGGAAAACGTTGTATCCAGAGAAACGTAACCCTGTGCATTATTTTCACACTAATAAACGAACGCTTTTCTTATTATCATTGTCCTACTACCCAGCATGAAATCAGTTGTATGTCAATGGTACAGGAAACTGAAACACATTAATTCTTGTTTATAAAGCTGTCGATTCATAGTAAAATTGAAGGTACGTAGGTAGGTAGCTGTATATATAATTATCCAGGTATGTCTATCAGTATGTGCACTTGTGCTATTATGTAATCCCCTAATCTATAGAAACGGGTCATAGAATTAACGTCCAAACAGCTTTATACAGAATAGTTCAAGGAGCATTCTGCGGTTTTCGGAATTACTAGCCACAAGCAAATCGAAATTGCCTATGCCTTCAAACAAATTTTGTTCTTACACTATATTTACCTTGGTGGTCATCAAGTAACACTGAGGTCGTTATTCGAGCAGTCCATAAGCTAATACAAACCTTAGCACAACAAACGAATAAATGAATATTAAGAGGTGCGTTATGCTAATTATGTGCTATCATGATAAAAAAAAATGCTCTAACTTTTAAAGCAGTGGATTCCAGGTCCTGATTTCATTCAGTAGAGACAACAACACAAGTGAACCCAGTTGATGTCCCAAAAAAGATGAAACATGAGTACTTCCTGCGATTATCAGAACATAATGTAGTGATATTTTGTCCTGTCTTCAGTGAGAAAAATCTTCTATATTGATCCCGGTGACTAGCAGAGGAATCCAGGCCATATGTTTCGTCCTTTTTGGGACATATACTGTTTGCAGAAACCAAAAATAGGCCTACCAACTCAAAATACATGACACGACAGTGTAGTACACTTCATACTGAGCAGTTGCAGGTAATCTGTATTCAGAATCGCATGGTCCAGTAACATGGTTAGTGATACTAGAGAAATATCGTTCATCTGAACATTCAGAGCTCCTGTTACTCAGTTCTACATTCACGAGCAACGTTAGTGAGTTATTCTATTCATGTTTAGTGCTTTGTAGGAACGAGGCCAGAGGCCACTAGTCACCTCCTCCATCTATCGCTGGAATATCTAGTCTCGAAGTGAGCGGGTTTGATACTCAGTAGATTACTCAGCAACAAAATGAAATAATTTACAGCAAACTATGCTTATTACAGATCCCCTCTTTCTGTAAGTTAACCTATTCTTTTTACTATATCACTTTACACATGCTAAGGTAAAGAAAGCACTGCTGCGCCCTATCCAAGACTTGTCTATCTGTCTGAAATAAGATCCATAGGTATTTTAGAGGATTCGAACAAATTTAGCAGGCTGTAAGTTGATCCTGAGATCTGAAAAATATCCTACAAATGTAAAATATACTCCTGTAAACCAACTCATTTTTAAATAATTAGTAAAACTGACCTTTTTTCCGTAGTATAAATAAAATACCGTAAAATTATTGGTATCACAGAATTAGATTCACATTTAACTGGTGCCCAGAATGAGGAGAATTTCCCGTATTGAAAATCGCTAAAACTGATTGTCTCATCATTATTACTGAATAATTGTAAATTGCGTAGAAAACTGACTACAAATTTCGTTTAAATGTACAGGATTAATATTATTATTATTACTAGTGATAGTAGCAGAAGTACTAGCAGCAGTATAGTTATTTACATAGGCCATCAATAGACCTTTATAACAATAACCAATACCAAGTATACTAGATTCGGTTTGATTTAAAAAATCGATTCTATATTGTTTGTCCAATGACTGAACATTTAAATTCTTCAGCAGTTCAACATTGTGAATTTTAACTGGTCTACTTAAATGGAGTAAATTCATTAGATATGCTTCTATTTGTATTCTAGAATGTGGTGGAACAGATGCAGATGGAGCAGAGGATTGATAATACCATCGATTAAAATTTCGCATAATTTGAATAGATCTGTATATATCAGCCAGGAAGTTTTGTGTTAGACTTTTTTGTGTTATCACTCTGTTAAATATTGGGTAAAATGTTTCATTCAAATTTACTGTGGTTGATAAAGATGACGGAATATCAGCATCCTTATTATTATTATTGGTTTGCGGTTTACGTGGATTTATGGTACATATATTCAAGTCATTGGATGAAGAATGAACAAAATTTACAAGTCTGCGTAATAATTTCTCTTCTTCTATCACTAGATTACTGTCTGGCAGTGATGTGACTATGCAACAGAAAAGAGAACCTATGATTATAAAAATGAAGTTGGGCCCTCTTGAGAAGTGAGCAAGAGGTTTTGTATACGTTTCATTCTATATTTTCTCTGAATAACTGTTTAATCTTCGATCCTTTCTTTTGCCTTATATTTCTTTTGATCAAAAATTGTTGAACAGACTTAATTCGCATTTATATTTAGAAGGATTATTTACATTGTGATTAAAGGTACTGATGATAGTTATGAAGAGTATATTCCAGAGGTAAACATCCATTTCTGGGTAAATGCATAACGTTTTCCTGTGAAAAAATATTTACAGTATAATTCCTCTGCTTTCTGATCGTTAAAACTCAATATCCTTAAAATATGTGGCAAAAAAGACCTTTGAAGAGTTCTCACAGGTACACATACAAACAAATTGTCCGTTAATCAATATACATGTAAACAGATGGTTAAATAAGCACATACACGCAGATATACATATATAATCAGATCTATGCCATTAGGCATTTCAGGGGCATCTAAAATTGAGGTCTGATTTTGACAATAGAAACCCAGTGATTGGTCAGAGTTAAATCTTATTTTCCGAACATATGATTGGACAATGTATGCAGTAAAAAAATTTCAGTAATACAAACTGATTTAGAATAAATTTTATTGGAGGACATTTTTTTATCAGTCAATTAGTTAGTTAGCTAGATCGTTCTATTGAAATTTGTTTACGTTGTGTTTTTTGCAAAGGATATTTGGGTGAAATCAGATGTTACCTGTCAAGACAGATGGATTTAAATAGCAATTGATCATGAATAAGAAGAATAAGATTCATATGACTCAGAGAATATCAATCTTAGTCTAACAGAAAAAAAGATACACTTCGACAGACAACTCTTCAACACTTCGGCTGTGGTGTCGGTTTTTAATTCCAAATTCATGACTGAAATCTTCTTTGGAACCGTAATATGCTAAGGGATGATACGTTTCTTTATGTTTTTATCAATCAATCTTCCAGGGTATCTATTATTCACTAGTGTTATCCTAAAAGTTTCAACTTCAACATCTTATCCATTAATAAGTGGGTATATTTTATCAGAAAGAGATCAACTGGAGAGTATAGAAATGAAAATGCTTCAAACTAGTAGTAACTAACAGCAAGCGGTAGCTATTATGGTGCTGAATTCACATCTGTACTCAAAATCCTTTTGAAACAGTAGTGTAATGCATAATAATATTTGATATCCATCTTACACGCATTCATAGCAGTCTTCATCATGGATAAACATCAGATGGAAAGTCACTGAAAACAAGATCGCACAAGATAACTGTTTAACTGAGTATGAAACTGTCAGGCAATATGCAATCACAACAGATACATGTAAGATCTGGTATGGAAGTACATTGCCCCAAGTTGTCACACTTTACAGCAACGAACAAGAAGGAAGTGAACAGAAGAGTGATATTAAGGTAGACAAAAGTTGATGGGAGAGGCGGCGGTAAGAATAAGTGGATGAACTCTAGCAAGTTTACAAAGCTTCAAAGATTACAAACACCACGCACAATTGTGCCATTGTGATCGATTATCAGCCGTATAGCAAAGAATTTCCAATCACTGATTCCTATTGACTTGGGGACCCCAACCAATAGAACTGCTACTCCTCCCACAGTTCAGACCAACAATGAGAGACCACATAGAGGGATGTCACGTATTGTTCTCACGACCTGATCCTGATGTGGCTGGTACCAGACACATCATGCCCTCCCAAAGGTACTCAAAGCAGATATTCCTTACTACCAAATGTTGGATATGAACAACTCCCCATAACATTTAACTGATAGGTGGCTGACTGAAGTTATTCTACCAGTGAAAAAATGGATTAGTAAAAATATTTTACCCGGTTCACTAGATTCTTTTTTACTCAACCTATTCAGAAAAAACACACTGTCTTTGAACCTCATTTCATTCTTCACAAGCGTCTAACAACCTAACTGTCTGTTTAATAATTCAATATATAAATGAATTACTCCTACAATGAACTATTGTCATGCAATTTAGATTCAATAATGAACTCCGTCAAGAAAAGGTAGGGGTAGTAGTAATGGGGGTCTCCACTGGCTCCTTAGATTGCTTAATGACTAGCCTTGAGAACAATATCTGAAGTTATCTATCAGTTCCATCTCTCATCAGAGGAGAGAGAATCGATACGTATCCCATACTGTTGAGAATTAAAAGATTATCATCTCTCCATCAATTTGAGAACAACTCAAGTTTTCACTATCTTGATATTTTGTTCAAGAGCAGATCCGATGACAATGGATTCAGAAGGTGTAAAGAATAAGCTGCCACTCTGCACCATAATTGTATCTGCCTACCAGTCTGCCGGCTCTTTTGGAGCTGGTTATATAGAAGGCATGAAGTGCAACCTTTCCAAACTCATCTCCGAACACTATCCTGCTGAGCTGTTCAAAGAGGAATGCATGTTAAGTAACAACATACTGGACCATTTGGTCAACCATGGTCATGTCACTTTCCCACATTCTAACTTCAAAACCAAATGGGGAGTCAAACTGAACACCTCAGAAGGAATGTGGGTTCGTCACTTATGTATAACAGTAACGTTGATGATCCAACAATTAAAACTCCAGCTCTACAAACAACAGAGATTTGTTCAATCTCTTATTTTGCTATGGTCATAGCCTTTCTTGATCTTCTTCACTGCTTCAACATTCATCTTACTCTTATCGACTGATTATTATTACTTTTTTCACTTGGTAGCTTAATTTCCTACCTCTCTACGTGTTATTTCCGATTCTCTACTGGAACCTCATAATATTTCATCCCAACCGATAATTCCTTTTAAATCTTACAGTTATGATCTTAATTGACTATATACTTTTTCCAATACACTCTCTGTTTACATAACCTCCTAATTTTAGAAAAGACCTCCGATTACCCTCTGGGATATTCCTTCTTGGAGACCTAACCTTGAACGATTAGACAATAATGGACTTATTTTTTGAGTGTTACTATAAATACTATGGTATAGCTGTTGAAGATGATTCGGAGAAAAAAGTTTTTTTCCGCTGAATTACTTTGTGGTGATGTAATTGTCTCAATGGAACTTTTTATCCCTTTATTTCTACATTCATATGCTGTGTCCAATAACCGTACAATAGGACAACACGAACTGCTGTACAACGTGTTCGTCTTTTAATGGGTAGTTGGTGATCTCATCGGCACCAAACATAATATTAAACAGGCTCTTTGTATCCAACAACAAATGGAAGACTCATATCGAGGGATGTTTGGTTTCATGGTTAACAAGTTACCACTTAACCTAAAGGCTGGATTGCAACGGTCTACATTTTTCTTCTACGTTTAGGACGGAGCGAGCGGAAGGACAAATACTCAATAATGACAATAAATGATTATTACTTTATATCACAAATCCAAATAGATAAAAAAGTGCTGAATTCCGGTTTCTAATCCACTGGCTAAACTATGGCGTGTTAGTCGAAAGTATTCATGGTTTTAGATTTCATCCGTCGCATAGTCATGAGTGCATACTGTCAACAAGTCCCAAATTATGTGGAAACACCTATCGTCTGTTAGCCGGTTGTCAGTGACTTTTATTTTCAATGCCATCCACCACTGAAAACGAACTTGAAATCAAGCGATTCTCGATCAACCTATCAATCTAATAAACTCCTGTGCTGTCTATTGTCTGAAGCGTAGCGTTGTGAATCGATTTTCATGCTAGGATGCTGGTTGCATCATGAGTCCACTTGCGGAGTGATGTGTTCTTTCAATAAACAAGACAAGGCGGTGGTGAAAAGATGGTGTGTCTGGCCATATCAGACTGTGTACTTCAGTTTATATGTATTCTCTTAGAGTCTTGAATATTCTTTATCACGATAATTCCATCTGACATCTAACTCCCACATCTTGTAGACTTCACCACCTTCCAACAGTTATGTATCATTTTCGCACCTGTTCAGTTCTCCGCACACAGTATAATTTATGTCGTGAATAAATTTTTATCGCATATGTTGCAAGAAAACTTTTCATCTTTTATAATCACCATGTTGAAATTAGAAACATACCAATTCACAGTTTGGCAAGATACAATTCTTCAGAGACCTTGCTGAGAAATTTTATGGTATCCCAATGGTTTTATTGCCCTTCAAAGCTTTGTTTTCACACATAAAGTTTTCAACATGATTCTCACTGCAGCTCCATACGAAGTATTAACAAACGTGAATGTTACTAGTGGTTGAATCATAGCTTTTTTCCTTATCAACTTTGTAACAAAAGTTGACTTTCAGTAGTTTTTTTTCAAAGTGAAGTGAACTACATCATACTTAGATTGCGGTCTGAATACAGATGTAAAAATACATGCACAACTACAAAACAACACTGCTATACTATAGAAACAAATAAATATCTTAATGATAGACTGACCACTGAGTAATGACCTAAATCATATCACCGTCTCCAATATTACTTTGATTTTTGTAAATTTGCCTACACATTGTGATCTTTAGACTAACTGACACCAATATACTACGGTATAGTTGCCTACATACATTTAAACCCAGCACAAACACTTTTATCTATGTTTACCTACGATTAATTCTATCACACATATGCTTCTGAGTTCCCAAGTAATTTGGTATTACTTCGGTAACTGATCAGTAGTATTTTCGAGTGCACCCACCAAGGCTGAATTAACTCTGATGACCGGCGTTTCGATAACTGACTGTAATACGAAAGCTTACAATAGGTAGTGCCTTCCTGAGAATTTTGGTTCGTATCATGTTATGGCTACAGTGATCTTCCAAATCCACTCATGAATATTAGCGGGTTTGAACAATCGCCGTAATAAAGCAGTACTGTGGAAGTTCAGTGTTGCTTTGAAACTACCGAAAAGCAATGATATCTTGCACCACAACAAAGAACTTCACACGTACACAACTTTGTGTGGGAAAAGAACCTGTAGATTAGAACTATCCACCTATGGTCTTCTAACTTTGTATTGATGTCCATTGCTGGGGAATAAACAGGATTTATTGTTGGTCAAAACCTCGTCTGGTTAACTAGTTCACTAGTTACTAGCCGGTCCTAAGCCCAGGTAAAGAGGGAAGGTTGGGCATAGAGCTAGCAACCCTACCCCGTAAAACAAACTTATCGCTAAAGAAACTTCACAGCACAAACAAAATATAAAAAAATAAAAACAAACTTATTCCTCACTGGAATCGGAGAGGCGAAATGATGCCTCGTTAGTGAAAGCCTTCAGGAAGCCAATTGGCCGATGTGTCTTCTCTCGCTTGATGAGAGTGAAAGTAAACGTGGAGACATGGAATGTCTGCACGATGTTTGAACCCAGCAAGGCAGCCCAGATTGCAATGGAGATGAGGAGGTATCACATTGAAGTGCTAGGAATTTGCGAAAGCAGATGGAATGGAAGTGGACCCTCCTAACTGTCAACTGGAGAATCAATAATCTACTCCGATTTTGTCACCCAGACGACACGACAACCATGAGCACACTGACTTGTGGAGTGGCTATCACGATGTCCACAACAGCATCGAAGGCTCTGTCTCATGCTGTGGGAACCAATCTCCTCCAGGATCATGACTGCAAGATTCAACTCAAAAGGAAGGAAAGTCATAATCATACAATGCAATGCTATGCACCTACAAATAATGCAAATGAAGAGAGGAAGGAGGAATTCTACAGACAACTTCAATCAACACTGGACAAAACGTCAGTTGGCGACATCAAAATTCATTCTAGTGGGTGACATGAA